CCGCCTGGCAGTGGCCGAGCCTGTTGTTGGGTGTGTGGGTGTGCACCTCGCCGGTGTTGTCTGAGTGTTGTCAGTGCAGCGTGACTGTTGTCTGTCCCCTGAGTGTAACGACCCCCGCGTGGCGGGTGTCCTGGGCAGCTGGGCCACGGTCGGGGTGGGGGCATGGCTGCCTTTGCTGGCACGTTTTGCAGACATTCAGGTGACACCGGGTTGTTGCGAGACCTTCTGGCTCTTCCACCCCCCACGCTCCCCACCGTAGTGTGTTTCCGCCTCACTCATCTTTAGTAACTGGCGAAGCAACAGGGAGGAAACGGACCTCACTCTGTATCGGAGCCATGCCCGCTTGGGTCTCTGCTCCGTGGGTCCCTGGCTGCCCGACTTGGCTGGCAAGGCGCTCCTCTCTGCCCTCTGCAGAGGCCTGCAAAGTCCCATCGAAATGGTTACAGTGCTGCATGTCTCAAGTTGAATAATAATATCGAAGGGGAGGAGTAAGTTCTGACTGTAACTTTTGTAAATTCTGTGCTAGAAAGTACCGCAAAGTCCCATGCACGGACTGAAGGACAAAATGTACCCTTCCTAAGTAGCTTGGTGTAGCATTTAATTTGTCCATTTTCGAGATTCCTATTAGCCTTCCTAACATGACTGTAGTATGGAAGAATGCTGATCAGGGTATAAAACTTTTGGAAACCTTTTGCGAAGAATGATTTGAACCATGGGTGGGATTGCGTGGAGGCGGGGGTGGGGGACTGGTCTGGAATGGCTTAAAGGGGAGTGTGTAGGGATCCTTGAAAATGTTTGCATTGGCTGTGGACACAGTAGAGGATTGATTCATTATGGGATGAAATGCCAGTGCTGTTGAGAGCGTGCACACAGCCCAGCTAAAAAGAAGGGCTTGAGTGTGTTTTCACGGGGAGCACACAAAACGCACGAGTGATTTGCCGGAAGTTGAAATGACACCAGACTGAAAAGATTTCCCAACAAACTTTGACGGGCAAGAAGTTCCACACAGGGTTTTTCCCTTTTTCTCCCTCTGATAAAGTATATTCTTGACTGCAAACACTAGTATAAACACACACACGTTTGTGAATAAAATTTCTTTTGAAAATAGTGTGATATGGGGAGGAGGCGACTGAGCGAGGAGGGGCAGGGGGAAGGTGGGACGTTAGAGAACTATAAGCCACAGCCTGGTGGGACCACCCGCCTTCGGTGGAGAGGTGGAGAGGGCTCCTGCCGGACTGCGCTGGGTCTCCTGGGCCTCTCTACCTGCGAGTGTTAATCAGCTCTGTGGGGTTTTTTTCCTCCTGTGATTCCTCTTCCTTCAGGCTTACCTCTGCCCTGGGACCCCTCCCTTTCCCCTTCCCCAAAGGGCAAGTTCTTCCCTGGGGAGAGAGGCAGAGCCAGGGTGCCTAGGCACTGCCTGCGCTGGATCACCAGGGTTGGTCCCGGGGCGGGAGACAGGTGGATCCCTGAATTCTGTAGTCAGAGCGCGGGAGTGCAGACTCCCATGTTTGGAGCTCCTCAGTGTGCTCAACTGTAAAATCCATGCTTCTTTTTTCCCTGCACACATGCCAAGAATCCCTTTAATGTAAATAGTATCTCCATATGAACAACCTGACCTCTAGTTTCTTCCTTGAATCCTTAACGGAAAAGAATGGGGCCAGTTTTCTTTTGAGTTGGGAGGGGATGGAATATTTGCCTCCCCCTTTCCCTGCTCTGTTGGAAAATCTGCTCCCACCACCACGTTGTAGGAAGATCCTGTATTCTTGCAAACAGTGTCAGTGGATGTAACATTTTACCGAATATTTTAAGAATAGAGGCTTAATAATTCACTGCATGTTAGTTCATTTTAATCCTAGACCAAATCTCCCCTAAGCAATGTTAATTGCTTTAAATTTTATGCAAGTGCTTCTCATTTTTATCATCATAAAATCCGCACTAGAGTGAATTGAGTAAGCTTAAATTCACTTGTTTGGAAAGATGTTTGGAGGTTTTAATTGTACTCTTTTTTTTTTATTTCAGTGAACTATTTGCACATTTCATTGCATCTTAGCAGAAAATACAAATTCTTCATTCACAGGGAGGGATGTGCTTGTAAGCTAGACATTGATTTAGGATAATAAAGTTTACTATTTAGAAAAGATGTAAGAAGGGGTGTATAAAATCCCTATAGAATGTATAATTGATGGTCCTTTATCCAGTTCTTACCTCACTGTTTTGTGTATCCGAGAACAACTTCCCATCTCCCCCTCTAGGCTCAGTCTTCAGAAAAGAAAAAGAAAGAGACACCCCCAGGTTAAGTCAGTGTACGCACTATTTTTAGCTTTTTTCGTAAGAAGGTGACAGATTATTTCGTTTCCAAATATTTCTAACGATTTTCTGCTCAAGTGTAAGATAATGGAGCAAAGAGTTTGTAGGAATGGCTAAGGGAAGGTGGGGGATGGGGAAGGCGT